TCTGTTGATCTTTCTATTGTTGATTTCTAATCTGATAGCATTGTGATGTGAGAAGATGCTTTGCAATATTTCAGTGTTTTTAAATTTATTAAGGCTTGCTTTAATAAATATGGCCTAACATATGGTCTATCATGGAAAATGTTCCATGTGCACTGGAAAAGAATGTATATTGGGCTGTTGTTGGGTGAACTGCTCTGTAGATGTCTGTAAGGTCAAGTTGGTGGATTATATTGTTAAGCTCTTCTGCGTCTTTGCTGAGTTTCTTTCCATTTGTTCTGTCTTTCATTGAAAGAGGTGTATTAAAGTCTCTCACTATGACTGTGGAGTCATCTATTTGCCTTTTCACCTCTTTCAAAGTCTGACTTATGTATTTTGGGGCTCTTTCATTGGGTCCATAGATACTTATTATATAAATATAATAGGCCAACTGACTGGAAGAGATCCATATTTGTGCCCAATCCAAAGAAAGGTGATCCCACAGAATGTGGAAATTATAGAACAATATCATTAATATTGCATGCAAGTAAGCTCTTACTGAAGATAATTCAAAAACGTTTGCAGCAGTATATTGACAGAGAACTTCCAGAGGTGCAAGCCGGATTCAGAAGAGGACATGGAACAAGGGATATCATAGCTGTTGTCAGATGGATCTTGGCTCAAGGCAAAGAATACCAGAAAGATGTTTAGGTGTGTTTTATTGACTATGCAAAGGCATTTGATTGTGTGGATCATGACAAATTATGGATAACATTGAGAAGAATGGGAATTCCCGAGCACTTGATTGTACTCATGAGGAATCTGTACCTTTACCAGGAGGCTGTCGTTCAAACAGAACAAGGGGACACTACATGGTTTAAAATCAAGAAGGGAGTACGTCAAGGTTGTATCCTTTCTCCACACTTATATAATCTATATGCTGAGCAAATAATCCGAGAAGCTGGACTATATGAAGAAAAACGTGGTATCAGGATTGGAGGAAGAATCATTAACAACCTGAGATATGCAGATGATACAACTTTGCTTGCTGAAAGTGAAGATGACTTAAGGCACCTACTGATGAAGGTTGAAGAATACAGTCTGCAGTATGGATTACGTCTCAATATAAAGAAAACAAAAGTCCTCACAACTGGGCCAATGTGCAGCATCACAATAAATGGAGAGAAGATTGAGGTTGTCAAGGAATTCACGTTGCTTGGTTCTACAATCGATGCCAACGGAAGCAGCAGTCAGGACATTAGACGACGTGTAGCATTGGGAAAGTCAAAATACAACTAGGGAAGAGCTACCTCCTCAAAGTAGAGTCTACCTGAGTAACGTGCATGGAGTAAAGCTTGTGGGACTTTCATTTGCTGATTGGGTGTGACTCAAAATGGGAAGAAACAGCTGATAACATCCATTAACAATCAGAACATGGAATGTACAAAGTATGAATATAGGAAATTGCAAGTTGTCAAAAATGAAACAGAACACATAAAAATCAATGTCCTGGGCAATAGTGATGTAAAATGGACTAGTATTGGCAATTTTGAATCAGAAAATCATATGATCTACTATACAGGCAATGAGAAATTGAAAAAGAATGGTGTTAAACTTATCATCACAGAGAAAGTTTCTAGATATATCCTGAATTGCAGTGCTGTCAGTGATAGGATAATATTCATATGTCTGCAAGGAAGATCAGTCAGTGCTACTGTTATTCAAATTTACTCACCAACCACTAGGCCAACAATGAAAAATTAAAGATTTTTACCAACTTCTGCAGTCTGAAATTGTCTGAACATGCAATCAAGATGTGTTCATTATCATTGAACACAAACGTTGGAAATGAAGAATTAGCGATAGCTGGAAAATATGGCTTTCATGATAGAAATGACACCAAAGATCGTGTGATAGAATTTTGCAAGACCAACAACTTATTCATTGCAAATGTCTGTGTTCAACAACATGAACAGTCTGTTTACTTGTGGACCCCACCAGATAAAATACATGGAAGTCAAATCGACTACATCTGTGGAAACAGGTGATGGAAAAGCTTCAATATCATCAGTCTAAACAAGGCCAGGAGCTGACTATGGAACTGACCATCAATTGTTCATTTGTAAGTTCAAGTTTAAGATGAAAAAAAAATTAAAACAAATCCATGAGAGCCACCATACGACCTTGAATATATCCCACCTGAATTTGGAATTCATCTGAGAGTAGATTTGATGCATTGAACACCAATGACTGAAAACAAGGTGAATTGTGGGATGATACCAAGGATATCATACAAGAAGATAGCAAAAGGTCCTTAAGAAGACAGGAAAGGAAGAAAAGACCAAGATAGATGTCAGAAGAGACTCTGAAACTTGTTCTTGAATGGATAGTAGCTAAAGCAAATGGAAGAGATGACAAGGTGAAAGAGCTGAACAGTAGATTTCAAAGGGCAACTCAAGAAAACAAGGTCAGTTATTATAATGAAATGTGCAGAGATCTTTCCTTTCCAAAAGGAAAGAACACACGTGGCATTTCTCCATCTGAAAGAATTGAAAAATTTCAATCCTTGAGTTGCAATATTAAAGGATTCTATGGACAAAATCTTGGAAGGAATCTACTTCCGTAGTGAGTGATACTGCCTCAGAAACCCAAGGAGGGGTCACTGTGAGTTGGCACTTAACAACAACATGGACAAAATATTGAATGATACAGGAAGTATCAAAAGAAGGTGGAAGGCACACAGACACTGCGCAGAAAAGAACTGTTCGATGTTCAACTATTTCAGAAGGTTGCATATGATCAAGAACCAGTGGTTTTGAAGGAAGAAGTACAAGCTACACTGAAGGAAAAACAAAGCTACAGGAATTGACTGAATACCTATTGAGATAGAGCACTTATGCCAAGTAATTTGGAAGACAGCTATCTGGCCAACTGACTGGAAGAGATCCATATTTGTGCCCATTCCAAAGAAGGGTGATCCCACAGAATGTGGAAGTTATCGAGTAATAACATTAATATCACACACAAGTAAAATTTTGCTGAAGATAATTAAAAAACAGTTGCATCAGTATTTTGACAGGGAACTTCCAGAAATGTAAGGTGGATTCACAAGAGAATGTAGAACAAGGAATGTCATTGCTGGATCTTGGCTGAAAGCAAAGTATACCAGAAAGCAAAGAATAGCTGTGTTGTATTGATTATACAAAAGCATGTTGTTTTTTGGCTGTGTTGTAAAAGCTGTAATGTATATAGACTAGTAATTAAAAACTCATGGCACACATAAGGCTGTCTTGAGCCAAAATTAATTGATGGCCACTCGTTGTTTTGTTTTTAATAGACTACCATGGTGCTTAGCTAATTCTTTCATGGGCTTCTAGATTACTTTGTCTTTCTGGTTAATGTCAGTTGTCTCATCTCTCTCAGTGAAAAGTGATTTGAGAGGTTAAGAACTGACTTCTAAGACTATGTTGTTTCCTCTGGCTACCTTCAGTTCTTTTACATTAAACTCTGGGTCAGGTTTGCATGGGTGACTATGAGAGAACTTTTAGAAGATGACACACTAAGAATTGTTATCATGTCTTACATACTTAAGGTTAATAGCTGATCACAAACTGCTTGTACTACCCAGGCTTCTGACCTCCTGCAAGAGGGTATTAAACACAGATGAGAATGATACCTATGTGTCAGAATAATATTTTGCCCATCTGGTGAAATACTTCTCTAAAATGAAATTATATTTGAAAGTACAGACAAAAGGTTTGACCTTATTAATGCTGAACAAATGTTGAAACAGGACTCAAACTGCCGACCCTGGGAACTGCTTTAACAAACTTTTTTCATTAATTATGGGTGTTGATGCAGTTTGAGGAACATTGTAAATCCCTTGTTAGAATGGTATTTTTATATTCCATAGAGGCAAGATTTAGAATTTATTTGTTAGTGTTAAAATGAAAGTATTATAATTTAGTGTGCCAGTGGGTGATTATATACTTTCAATAGGTGTAGTAAGGTATGGTTTACATATAATAAAACTTACCTTTTTAAGCGTACAGTTTGGACAAATGTACACAGTTATGTAACCACCACCATGCTCATCACTCACACATTCTTATTACTCAAAAAGTTCTGTTGTACCTCTGCAGTCAGTCTCTAGTTCTTGCCAGCCATTTATTTGATTTCTATTGCAGTAGTTTTGGCCTTGTTCAGAATGTCACATAAATATGTTGCCAATTGAGCCCAGCTTTTTTTCTCGTAGTGTTAAGTTTTGAGAGTTACCCATGTTGTTGGGTGTATATGTAGTTTGTATTATTGCTCAGTAGTATTCCACTGTTTAAGTACTACATAATTTGTTTATGTATTTACTAGTTGATGGACATTTGTGTTTTTTATGTTTTGGACTATTAAGAGTGAAAGTACCATAAACATTCATGTACAGTTATTAAGACATTTGTTTTAATTTTTCTTGGATAAATACCTGGAAGTGGGATTACTTACTTGTATGGTAAGTGTGTTTATGAAAGTTGCCAAACTGTTTTCCTAATGGATATACCATTTTGTATTCTTACTAGCAATGTATGAGAATTCCAGTTGTTTCTCATTCTTGCCAACATATTTTCTCCCAGCCTTTGGCTTATCTTTTCTTTTTCTTGACAGTGTCTTAGAAAAGCAAACTGTTAATCTTGAACACTTTATATCTTTATGTTTTTAATTATAAAATTAACAAATCAGATTCAACTAGACAACAGCTGGTATGGTTTTTGGTATAATAAAGATTATGAAAGTATTTTTCTCTTCCCTTTCAGATATTGTCCTCTAGTATTTAAATTTACTAATCTAGTAAAATCAGTTCTTTTTAATGTTATATGCAAAGGTAAAATGTTTGCTTTAAGAAATGTATTTTGGAAGTTTATTTTATATTTCAAAACTAGAAGTTATCTCCCTTCATTTTTAAGAAGATAATTAGAAGAAAAGAATTACCTGTAGAAATATTCTAGTTAATCTGTTTTGCTTCTCTTTTATTCCAGTGTTATCCAAGATAAATTCTGTGGAATTATAAACATCTCAGTGGAGGGCCTACATGATGTCATGACAGAAGATCCTGAAACAGGCACTTACAAAGAGTAGGTAGAACATTTAATTAATCACATTTGGACATGAGAGATAATTAAACACATATTGCATGAGTTTATTTAGTATACTATAAACACAATATGGAAAAATTATAATTTTGCCATATATAAAGAAAAAATTATATTCTTTCCTTATTTTGCTTTTAATATTTCTTGCTTCATCTTGAGAGCTTTATTTATTTATTTTTTATGGTGGTCTTCTGAATTGTGTTTTGATCTAATAATCATTTTATGATTTGACACTAACCCTTTCCCTGTAGGACAGTAGAACTGCCCTGTAGTGTTTCTGAGGCTGTAAATCTTTTCAGAAACAAACTGCCTCATCCTTCTTTCATAGAGTAGTTGGTGCATTTGAACTGCAAACCTGTTGTTCAGCAGCCAGATGCTTTAACCACCGTGCCACCAGAATGCCTTATGATTTGACATTAGTTTCTTAAAAAATTCTAAGTGTATTTTAGCACATAAATTCCTTTTTAAACAATGTTTAGAACATACTCTTTTTTTCAGCTTGAAATGTTCCCTTGCCTTTAGGCTAGTTATGGGGAAAGATGATAAATTGCTTTGTGTTTGGTTGAAGTATGATTGATCTCTTAAGATGTTTGAGGTAATGTAGTACTTATTGTTATTAGATGCCTGTCAGTTGATTTCTGGCTAGGAGCTAACTAATGTGATGGTAGAATTTAGGGTTTCCTAAGCTGTAATCTTTATGACCCCAAGTTGTGTTAAGGGTTTGTTTTACTAGCAGGCATATTCCCCAACACCCACCAGTGGGTTGATGCTTTCATCAGCAGATACCACATACACACACACACACACACACACACACATGACAGGGCAGAAACAGCAGATAGACTATTTGCTGGTAGAAAACGAAAGTAGTTCTTTGGTTGGCTGGTGTGAGTGACTCCTTTGGTTGGACAGAAGACAAAGACAAGCAGTTGCTTGTTGAGTTTGCCTTTGGATCTCACCAGTGATGGGGGTGGGGGTAATGGGATTGGGTGTCAGGGCTAATTCCCTCAGGCCCAGGGAGGAAAATCCTGCTGGCTGGCTAGCCAGAAATGTTATAGGGCAAATTACCCAGGTTCTTATCTTCGGCCAGTTAAGAATAATCAAGAGAAACACATTAGGTTGTTCTAAGCAATAAAGAGTTTAATAAGAGAAAGTAGATCGTGAGTGGAGACAAAGAAGGACTAAGCAATTCTAGCCCTTGTCTCTCCAGGCAGAGACTTGCTGGGGTTTTTAAGGGTTTTGAAATAGGTGGGGATTTTCTGAGAAGGGGTGATAGTTTCCTAGAATAGGGTGGCACGGTGGAATTGGGCTGTGTGTGCAGGAGTTACAGGGGTTGCTGGGATACTTCACATGACTCACAAAGGCTGCTGGTATACTTGACATGACTGATTATGGGATGTGACGCTCACGCTATTCTTTGGGGTGTTGGCTTGATTCCTGACCAGTGTCCTTCCTTGCCATCCAGGAAGGTCACATAGTGGTCACTTTGTGGTGAAGTATGCATGCTTGAGGATTTGCTAGCTCTGTGGTTTTCTGAAAAACATCTTGAAGTTTAACAGATGGTTGTGCAAAAAATATTCTAGGATGTGGGTATAGACCAGACATGGTGGGTTATGAAGGACCTTATTATCTCCAGCTTTAAAAATAGTTCCAGCCCTACTCTTTTCCTATTTCATTATCCCTTTGTTAGTATGAAACCAAACTCATTGCCATTGAGTTGATTCTAACTCATAGTAACCCCTTTTGGGTTTCGGAAGCAGTAAATCTTTGTGGAAGTAGATTGCCAGTCTTCCTTCCACAGAGTGTCTGGTGAATTTGAACTGCCAACTTTCTGGTTAGCAGTCAAGTGCCTTAGGCAGCATGCCACCAGAGCTCCTTGTTTAGTATAATAGTCAAGTCTTTTATTATTACTGTTAATAAAGGGCGTGTTTCACATAATGATAAGTGTTTTGGTTACTTTGTGGAGCTCTAACAGAAAATACCACAGGTGGATAGCTTGGATAGCTTTAACAAACAGGAGTTTATTCTCTTACAGTTTGGGAGGCTAGAAGTCTGAGTTCAAAGTGCCAGGCTTTGGGGGCTGGGTGAAAGCCCTTCAACCTTGGGCTTCAGCTCTGCCTCTTGCTCCCAGCCCACTCTAGCTGGAGGCTTTCTTCACTCAGCTGCTGGCTGCCGAGGCCGACAAACCCAAGGTCTAAAAGTAACAAGTCACAGTCCTGATATTACCAAACCACACGGCAGGCCACTGATTCAAGTCCATTAAGAGTCCCCAAAATTGGCAGAGAACATGGCAGGCTGCCAACGACGACTCAGCTACATGCAGGATTCAAGCATGCCAAAAGCTACAGACCATTCCTAAATCTTCTCCTTATATTCTGGAAGCAGACCATGTCCCTATGCAGCTACTCAACTGCTCACAGTAGATTCCATCATGGAGTTGATTATTAGTCTCATCATGGGGAAAAACTACATCCATTTGCCCCATCACTCAAAACCAGGCCCAGCCAAGTTGACACATAACCTTAACTACCATTATAATCAAGGCTGCATAAGACTCTAGACCACTTGGCTTCCTCTCGTTAATAATACATTGAGCCTGTTTTCTTTGCACTTTCTAAAACCAGTTATAGCATATTATATTTTTTGAAAAAGATGGAAAGCATATATATGTTGGTATTTTACTAAATACCTATAAACAATATATCTGTGACATGCAGCTTAACTTTTGAGAAAATAGGAGTTCAGATGAAGTGGAAAAATCAAGCCAAATGATTACAAGTCCAAAATTAGGCCAATAGGTGATAATTTAGTGTAGCACAATGAAGAAACATGTGTTTCAGTTACTAAGAAGGGTTAGATCTCTGATAAGTCTTCCTACTTTGTAATTCTATGAATTATATACAGTTCTGTGAATTAGAGTGCATGAGACTATATGACATAATTAGACTTTCAGAAAAGAGAGCGTGAGAAACATAAATTAGTTATGTAGCAAATTTAGCCTCCAACTTCCCCTTCCTGTTTATTGAATGTTTATTAAAAAAAAGGTTACTCTTTCCAGTTGTGGTGAACTTTTATTGTATTCTCAGTTTAGAAACAGTTGGGACAAAGAAAGAAAACCCTGTTTTCTTCACCTGAATAAGAAAGCCTTGTTGATAATTAGATAATCTTTTTTTTTTCAGAGTTGTTTGTGCCAGGCACTGTGCTGTGTGAAAAAGCCATGTGAGTGGCTGAAGAGGGTGAATCTTGTTCTGAAAGAGCACAGCCTAAAAGGAGAGATGGTGACCAGTCGAGGAATACCACCTGTAGGAGAAGGGGTCTAAGGAAACTGAGTAGAACTTCTGAGAAGTATAGTGTGATCTGCCATATATCTTCACATATAATACAAAACTCTGATGGCATTTATTAAGTCTACCAAGTGCAAGTACATGAGGAATGAAGGGACTGTTGTTGTTGTTGTTAGATGCCGTTGAGTTACCTCTGACTTGTAGCAACCCCATGCATAACAGAATCAAACACTGCCTGGTCCTGTGCCAGCCTCACAATCCTTGCTATGCTATATATAGCCTATCATTGCAGCCACTGTGTCACTCCATCTCTTCAGCCACTCAAGTGGCTTTTTCACACAGCACAGTACCTGGCACAAACAACTCTGAAAAAAAAGATGATTTAATTGCCAACAAGGCTTTCTTATTCAGGTTAAGAAAACAGGGTTTTCTTTCTTTGTCCCAATTGTTTCTAAACTGAGAATACAATAAAAGTTCACCACAACTGGAAAGTATAACTTTTTTTGAATAAACTCTCAATAAACAGGAAGGGGAAGTTGGAGGCTAATGTCAGAGCCTTCCCCTTTTTAGTTGACCCTTCACTTTGCCAAGCATGATGCCCTCCTCTAGGGAATGGTCCTTTCTGGCAACATGACCAAAGTGAGTGAGATGAAGTCTGGCCATTCTCACTTCTAAAGAGCATTTCAACTACACTTCCTCCAGGACAGATTTGTTCGTTTTAATGACAGTCTATGGTATTTTCAGAATTCTTCACCAATACAAGTCAAAGGCATGAGTTCTCCCACAGTCTTCCTTATTCATTGTCTAGCTTTCACATACATGTGAAGCAATAAATATTATGGCTCGGATTGGGTGCACCTGAGTCCTTATCTTCAGGGAGACATCTTTGCTCTTCAGCACCCTTAAAGAGGTCTTTTGTAGCAGATCTGCCCAATGCAATACGTCATCTTATGTCTTGACTGCTGCTTGCATTGGTGATTGTGGAACCAAATAATATGAAATCTTTGACAACTTCGATCTTTTCTCCATCTACTGCAATGCTGCTTATTGGCCCAGTTGTGAGAATTTTTGTTTTCTTTATGTTGAGATGTAATCCACACTGCAGACTCTAGTCTCCATCAGTAAGTGCTTCAAGTCATACTGACTTTCAGCAAGCAAAGTTGTATCATCTGCATATTGCAGGTTGTTAATGAGTCTTCCTCCAATCCTGATGCCATGTTCTTCTTCATATAGTCCAGCTTCTCAGATTA